TTGAACCCTGTTGAGCTTCAACAGGTGCTCTTGTTGTTTTTTTGTTTTCTCCTGTTGAGTTTCAAATGATGCAGTTGGCTTGTATTGGGGGCTTTGTTGGGTGATAATTTAAATCTTTTTTTTTTTTATTTCGGCATATTATGGGGGTATAGATTTTAAGGTTTCAATAAATGCCCTTTCCCCGCCTCCCCAATTCAAATCTTTAGACACCAGAGTCTCATTCAGCATGATGGGGAGCTTACACTATTAGAGTATTCTGAAACCTGGATCAAGAGAAGGAATAGAAAATTCATGTTTTATTTTGGTGCTTATTCTAACTCAGTGGTTTTCAAAACTTTAGCTGTATATCAGAATCACCTGGAGGGCTTGTTAAAGCACAGATTACTGGGTTCTATCTCCACAGTTTCTTTTTTGTTTGTTTGTTTTGAGACAGAGTCTCACTCTGTTGCCCGGGCTAGAGTGCCGTGGCATCAGCCTAGCTCACAGCAACCTCAAATTCCTGGGCTCGAGCAATCCTTCTGCCTCGGCCTCCCGAGTAGCTGGGACTACGTGCCCAGCTAATTTTTTTCTATATATTTTTAGTTGGCCAATTAATTTTTTTCTATTTTTAGTAGAGACGGGGATCTTGCTCTTGCTAAGGCTGGTTTCGAATTCCTGACCTTGAGCCATCCTCACGCCTCGGCCTCCCAGCCGAGAGTGCTAAGATTATAGGCATGAGCCACCATGCCAGGCCTACCTCCATAGTTTCTGATTGTTCAGGTCTGGAATTTGGCCAGAGGGATTGCATTCTAATAAGTTTCCAGGTGATGCTGATGCTGCTTGTCCAGGGACCGCACATGGACTAATTGAATGGAAGCAGGTGAAATCACTTGTTTATCTTTCCTTCACTATCTGTTTCTCATGCTCTCTTATTTTTAGGCCGAGTGGATGGAGTTGTATTAGTTTAAGAAATGCGGAGGTTGTAGCTCAGCCAGTTCTTTATCCCATTGCTAAACTCAATACTTGGCCAAGAATAGGAGTTAAATAGATGCTCATTGAATGAGTGATTGAGTAAATTAACATATAGAATGGGAAGGATTTATAGCACACGGATATCATAATTATATATCTAGTACGTACAAACTGCTCATTTTCCTTAAAAGTAGGCACTCTGTAGATTAGAATAGCTTATAATATAGGACTACATATAATGATGATGATGGCTATCAGGAAGAATGCAGTTAGGTGCAGTTTTGAGACAATTGCATTTCGGGATGTGGTATGAATATGAAGTACGTGTGTGTGTGTGTGTGTGTGTGTGTGTTGATAGAACTGGGTGCAGGGAGTCGCATCTGTTTTATTTACTTTATTTTATTTTTAGAGACAGGATCTTGCTCTGTCACCCAGACTGGAGTGCGCTGACAATGATCATAGCTCACTGCAGCTTCAAACTTCTGGGCTCAAGCATCCTCTCGCCCTCAGCCCCTGAGTAGTTAGGATGGCAGGCACATTACCATGCCAGGCTAACCCATCTGTTTTAGAATGAACTAGAACCAACCCCTAGTCCAGAAAGGCTAGAGTAGCACTGGAACTGCCTGTGTCTGCTCCAGACCAGATGTTGCATTTTCACTCCTGTCCCTCTCATGCACTGAGGAATTCAGCCCTCATCATCTTAAAGGCTCAGTGAGGCTCGGTACTGTGGGATAACTCTGTAGATTGAGATAGTTAGTTGTACATGAATCTTACCATGTTATAGGATGTGGTGATTATATTTTGAATGGTGAGTTAAACAAATCTCAAAGGATTAAAAATTTTCAAAATATATTTAAAGTTCAATTTAAGCTTAAAATTATTTTGGCATTCTTATTTTTTGATATATTTTATATTATCTGTCTTGCATAGTCTTGGTATCCTGTGTGTTTTGTCTCTTTCAGTGTAGATTAAACTTTTCTTCCTTTGAATTCACTTTACTTTTTTATAGTGAAGTATTTCAAGTAAATCACAGACAGTATGACATTCTAAATTGAATGTCTAAACTGAATACTAAAGTCTTCAGTGTAAAGATGTAAAAAATAAAAACATTTTCTTATGTAGCCAAAAATAATATGATTACTCCTCATAAAATTAATAAGTCTTTAGTACAGGTTGAATATCCCTTATCTGAAATGTTTGGGACCAGATGTGTTTCAGATTTGGGATTTTTTTTTTTTTTTTGATTTTTGAATATTTGTATTGCAGTTACTGGTTGAACATCCCTAATCCAAAAATACAAAATTTTGAAACGAGCATTTCCTTTGAGCATTGTGTTGGCATTCAAAAAGTTTTCGATTTGAGAGCATTTCTGATTTCAATTTTTTGTATTAGGGATGTTCTACCTGTATCATTATATAACTAGTCCATATTAAAAGTAATTCAGTTGTCCCTAGTGTCATTTATATCTTGTTTGTTCAAACTAGGAGCTAGTCCAGGATCATGCATTACATTTGATTATGTTCTTTAAAATTCATCTAATCTAAAGCAGTTTTTTTTTACGACATTACCTTGCCTTTGTCTTGCAAAATGTCCCACCTTCAGATTTATCTGATTACCTCTTCAGTGTGTTTTCTTTTTTTTTTTTCTTTTTTTATTTTTTGAGACAGAGTCTTGCTTTGTTGCCCAGGCTAGAGTGAGTGCCATGGCGTCAGCCTAGCTCACAGCAACCTCAAACTCCTGGGCTCAAGCAATCCTGCTGCCTCAGCCTCCCAAGTAGCTGGGACTACAGGCATGTGCCACCATGCCCGGCTAATTTTTTCTATATATATTAGTTGGCCAATTAATTTCTTTCTATTTATAGTAAAGACAGCGTCTCGCTCTTGCTCAGGCTGGTTTTGAACTCCTGACCTCGAGCAATCCGCCCGCCTCGGCCTCCCAGAGTGCTAGGATTACAGGCATGAGCCAACTCGCCCGGCCTTTCAGTGTGTTTTCAACTTGCTCTTCTATCGTTTGTATTTCCTAGAACCTGGAAATTAGATCCAAAGGCTAGATTAAGATACAAGTTGAAAATTTTTGGCAAGAATACATCATAGGTGATAAGTGCTTCATGCTATGTCACATAGGGGGAATACATAATCCCAGCTGCCCCCCACCATTAATGATGCTAACATTGATCACTAGATTAAGGTGATGGCAGCCTGATCTGTCCATTGTAAAGTTATGTTTTTCCCTTTTAACAAGAGAGTATTTCTTATGGTATTACTTTGACACTATATGGATGTTCATCTTCCTATCATCCATTCTCCTAATGTTTTTCACACCAATTGATAATTCTTGCTTGAATCAGTAACTTTAAAGCACTATCATTTTTCTAATTTTGTCATTCCTTCTGTATTAGCTAACATTTGACTACATCGAGCTCTTCTTAATCAAATCTGGGACTATTTTGTACCCTCAAATATAATTCTGTTTGAAAGGCAGGCTAAATGTTGAATTTTTTACTTTTTAATTCCCAGTTTAAAAATAAGGCTTTCATTTAATGCAGGGGTCCCCAACTCATAGCGAGTTGTATAATTATTTCATTATATATTACAGTGTAATATTAATAGAAATAAAGTGCACAATAAATGTAATGCGCTTGAATCATCCTGAAACCATTCCCTGCCTCCCTGGTCCGTGAAAAAATTGTCTTCCATGAAAATGAACACTGGTGCCAAAAAGGTTGGAGACTGCTGATTTAATGGATACTTTGAATACATTTTTTTCTTGCTTTTTTTTAATTAATATTTTCATGGACTAATGGGATTTTCAAGAATTGAATGTTTTAGTTAACTACAATCATTCTTTTTTGCATTCAATTTGTTTTATGTTCAATTTATTAAAATGTTAGCCAGTTAATTGCCTCTTGTAGTTGTCTGTTAACTATAACTCCATTTTTGAGCACTTTCTTGCATGGCAAGATGTGTAGGCTTATCTTTTAGCTTCTTTGTCCCAAATATCAATCAGCCACTTCACTAACAAGTCCTAGTTTCTTTTAGGGGAAATGATATTAGACATCAAAATCACTTGGTACTTGGAATATCTATTGTGCCCTGGGAGACAGTGTTTATAGACCTTTTCTATGGTCTATTTAGTTCTTAAATTTTTGGTATTCAAAGTTTATATAATGAAAATTCAGATACTAAGTGATATCTGGAGTTTAAAAAATAATGGGATGTACTGTATACTTGAAAATCACTGAGTAGATTTTGTATTCTTACCACAAAAAATGATAAGCATATGAAGTAATGCTTATGTTAATAAGCTCAATTTAGCTATTCCACAATGTATACGTATTTCAGAATATTGTTGTATACCACAAATGTATATAATTTTTGTCAAATCTAAAAATAATTTAAAAAATGAAAAATTAATGGGTTCATATTCCTATTATCAATTCAATTTTAACATTATGTTTTTAAAGTAGCTACTTGATTTTATAATTGTATATTTTCTTTTATATAAAACATCTTAACCACTAGTAACAAACATTGCTTTCTCTTAAAATATAAAGAAAATAGGGCCAGGCATGGTGGCTCATGCTTGTAATCCTAGCACTTTGGGAGACTAAGACAGGTGGGAAAATCACTTGAGGCCAGGAATTTGAGACTAACCTGGGCAGCATAGTGAGACCTGGTCTCTCCAAAAAATTTTTAAAAATTAGATGAACATGGTGTTGTGTACCTACAGTCTTAGCTAGTTGGAAGGCTGAGATGGGAGGATCACTTGAGCCCAGAAGTTCAAGGTTGCAGTGAGCTATAATTATGCCACTGTACCCTAGCCTGGGCAACAGCGAGACCCTGTCTCAAAAAAAAAAAAAAAAAGAAAAAGAAAATAATTTTAAAATGTTATGATATATCAATATTAGTATTAATAAAATCAATGATATTTAAAATTTCTTGTGATTGTTTTTGTAATTTAATTTTGTAATTTTACTGGAAGAATTAATTTTATGTTGATTTCATTTAATTACTTTCCTTTGAATTATCTTTTGTCTGTTTTTATCATAGATTGATCATTTTGGATTTACTATTATGAAAACTTTTAAACAGCGCTATATAATAGCTGATAAATACTGGAAGAAAGATGGGGGATCAATACTTTTCTACACTGGTAACGAAGGGGACATTATCTGGTTTTGCAATAATACGGTATGTGCAGATTTGTGAAATTCCAGTGCTCAATTTGCCTTTATTATGATAATGTGGATAAAATGTTTTGCAGTATATTTAACCAAGCATTACTATTCATAATTGTAAAGTTTTTAAAAAATAACAAAAAGATAAACAGCAAAAGTACATGAATGGGCAGGTCACAGAAGAATAAATACAAATATCTAATAAGTCTGCCTATTCAGTGTGAAAGAATTACAAATGAAAAGAATGAAATATTATTTTTGGAAAGTTGAGTTTAAAAATTTTTTTTAAAAATCCTATCTTATTTTTAGAGTGAACAAAGATATAAGGGAAATAGGCATAGGGATGTTATTGCATATAGTTTGTTTTGATTATGGTCTCTAGAAGGTAAACACAAGGGCAGGAATTTTTATATGTTTGTTCAGGGATTTGTACTCAGAGTCTAGGACTGTATTAGGCACATAATATTTATTATTTAACAAATCATAAATACTTGTTGAATGAATGAATAAAACCTAAACAAAGCCAATGCAAATTAAAATACAGTTGTAATTATATTTTAGTTTAGTTTTCTTGTTCTACCATTTTTCTTGTATTTGTAAATGTTAAAAACAGTATAGTCTGTTAGCTTACCTCCCTGACTATACTTTCTATCACCTTTTATAATAATACTTAAATCCAATAAAAAACTTAATTTATAAGGGCACGTGAAAGGAAGGAGGTCTTAGTCAATGTTTGTTGAACTGATGTAATTGAAAGTAAGGATATGAATCCAATTATACTGTTATTGCATTCCTCATTCCTGACCTTTTTTTTAGGAACGTTCAGAATCTAAATATTTTACTTGAAGATAAAATAATTCCCTGCAAAATGAGACCCTAGGATGTCTGTTTTTTTAGATCAGTGACAAATGACATCAGAACTTCCTTTCCATCAGATTTCTGCTCTTTTATTCTATGAAACAACAGAGGCTGCCTTGTCTCTTCTCATTTTTGTGTGACTTTCTTTTTATGCCAGGGCCACAGGGCAGCTTCTCCTGTCTAGCGATTTTCCTAGTTCTTTTTCCCCTTAATTGTAAGCAGATAGTTGTTCCTGCTTCCACCAGGCCTCACTGTTGTGACAGGCACTGTGGCAGAACTTAAGCCTTGCTGGAGACTCTCTGTCCTCAGAAGTGGTAGAAAGGAAAAAATACTCAGTGTAGGAACAGTTCTAGGGAACTGACTAGAGCAGATTCTAGAAGAGCAGATCCTGGCACTTCCACAGCCCCAGATACCTTTCTTTACATACCAAAATGTTCTAATGCACACACACTTTTGGACTTTGATTTATTGAGAGGCAGTGTAATATAGTGGTCAAGAGTGAAGACTTCAGCCAGATGGACAAGATTTGAATTGTGATTTTGCCACTTTGCTTTGTGACTTTGGGGACGTTTCTTTGTCTCAGTTTTCTCATCTGGTAACCACTTTGGTATGGCGCTCACTGGCCGCAAAACCTTGCCCACAGCTGGTATTCATAGTCCGCACGATAGTTTGTGCTGTGCACTGACGACAAATCCGTTTTGCTCTTGTGTGATGAGGAAAGCTTTAAAGCACTGAAAGACTGTTTTACTTTACAGGCAGCTTTACTTGTAATGTAAATCAGAATAGGTAACATATACATATATGTTTTTTTTTTTTTTTGGCCACATCAGAAGAATGAGACATATATGTTTTCATTATGTTATTTTTAAATGTTCATAATTTTATTTTGATAAATGAATAATTAGAAAAATCGTATCACAGCTGTCGGCTAAAGTCACTGTGCATGTTCATCTGTGGCCGTCGACTATAGTCCATGCTCGTACCAAAATGGTTAAATGGATATAGGAAATAATATCTAGTTCATAGAGTAGTTGTAAAGACTAAGTAGGATTAAAGGACTTGTAAGCACATAATGTTCACAAATGTTAACATATTACATGAACCTCTTTTGAAAAATAAAAATACCCCTGAAATAGATGCAGGCAAATAATCACTTATTACATTGTGAGCCAATTGAATGAAATTGCTTCCTCTCAAAGCCGGAGGTCAACTCCACAGAGGTCTGGATATTTTGATGGATGGTCCTTACCCTTGAGATACTCACAATCTGGTAGCGTAAGACACACATGTAAGCAAATATTGCAGCACAGTAATAGTGATCTATCCCTAGCACAGTGGTGTGGAGAGAAGGGAGTGATCAGCATTGCCAGGGTCAGGCAGGCAGAGGGGGGTGTGCTTGAGGTGGGTGTTGCAGAATCTGTAGATGAATGGGCAGGGAATGAGTATGTCCTAAAGAGAGAAAGTGGGAGTTATTTAAACCATCACAGATAGCAGGTTAAATTCTTTATCCTCATATACATACAGCTCTTCTAATTGTTCATTTATTGATCATAACAAACAAAAACATTTTGAGATTCTTAGTCCTGGCCAAAGAGTAGCAATTCATTAAAAAGCAGCAAGGTGCGCTAGGAATGACAAATAGTTTTAATCTGTGCTAAATCTAAATCTAATCGATTGATGTTGGTTACCTACAATACTTTGTTGAGAAGGCATTCTGAGGCCACAGCTGAGGTAAATGAAAAAATGCAGTGATTGATTAATGACTAGCCATAGATAGTGGAGCAAGGAGGTCAAATAGCACTTGGTGACGGTGCTCTGGAGCCAGGCAGCCTATGTTTGAATCTTGGCTCTGTTACTTACTAGCTATGTGAACGTCTCGAAGGTTATATAAACTCTTGTCTCAGTGTCCTTATCTGTAAAATGGGGATCATTACAGTGCCTATTTCTTAGATAGTTAATGACAATTAAGTGAATTAATACATATAAAGTATTTATAACAGTGCCTGACATATTATAAGCACTCAGTTAATATTAGCTCTTGTAAGCTACTATTTATTTTCCAATAAGTAAGATTAATGGAAACCCCAAGGGAGTTTAATATGCTTATTTGTACTGTTTTCTCTTTTATATTGTAAATGCTTATGAGTAGGCAGCTTACTTAGGTAAATTTAACTCTTTCCTAGAAGATTTGGCACACAGTGCAATTTGAAGACCATTGTAGACATAATATTGATTCTAGGGCTACAGAGTCAGGTTAAAAAGAGTTGGAATGTCTAGTGGATGAGCAACCTGGGGTTATTTTTGATTATTTCACTCTAATACATTGTGAGATTGATGTACAACAGTAAAACAGCAATTGTGTCATTAATTTGTAGGACAAACATAAATTGTACAACTTTTTGAGATCTCTTTTTGGTGTTTTAACATCCATATCATACAGTGTGCAAAAAGGTACATTGACTTTTGTTCATATCCTGATTTTATCCTATGAATTTGTAAATTCTTCCTAGGGGTTCATGTGGGATGTGGCCAAGGAACTGAAAGCTATGTTGGTATTCGCTGAACATCGATACTATGGAGAGTCCCTACCCTTTGGTCACAGCTCATACAAAGTAAGTATACTTGTACTTTTAAAAGTTTTTTTTGAAGTTTATCATATTTTCTAATTACATATGCCACTGTGAGATATCTTTAACTTGAACTGCCTGACATCTCAATAATTTGTATTTAATATTTCCTTTTTATATATAATTTGAACAGATTGAGGCTTTTTTAGTCACATTGTTATCATTTCTAATGTTAATCATTATTTCAAAAATATCAGTGAACAGTTCTGCTTTATAAATTATACACACATTATTGGACCTTCCACTGGAAAAAAATATGAGTATGTAAATATTTATCTTGTAAGGTATTTTTCAATCAATAAAGTAAGGATAAATGGGCTCTATGATTCAGTGGGGCCAACTGGCCACTTGGATTCCCTGTCCGCCTTTCCTGTACCCACAGGAACTTTGGCATCTGCCACAGACTCTATACCTAATAAACCAGGACACTTTTCCTCAACTCAGTCACTCATGTGCTATCCTTGTGATCCTGGCTATATTAGTTTGCCACTTGTACTGTTATTTACTTACTATTTTTCTTTAATCAACTTATTTTTTAAACTTAGCATTGTCTTAACCAATGGCTTCATGTACTGTTTCTTTTCAAATTATATGTTAAAATAAAACAATAAATGTTACATTAAAAATGTTTGTGCACTACCTAGCACCACTAGTATATCTATATATCCCTATATCTATATCTATATATCTCTCTCTATATATATATTATGCTTTTGGGAAGTCTCAGCTAGAAGAAATTGGGGTCAGTTGTTTTCTAGGCTGCTCTCTTTGAAAAGAGTTTTTATTTTTAAAAAGTAGGTTTTATTATCTTGTATTATAAATTAAATAAATAAATAAATAAATAAAAATAAGTTAAAACTGTCCTTGAGTTATCAATAGAAAGCAGAACGATTTGCTAATATTTGTTGGGTTGTATGGGAAACTCTATTCCTTAGCTTAGTATTTTTCATAAATATCTGACTAAGGGAGTGGACAGGTCCTAAAACCACTGGGAAGCAGTCAGCTTGTTCTGGATAGAAATATAACTCCCTTTCCAAGTCCCTGTGATTGATACTCTTAGCAAAAGGGAACTGGGGGCTCTTGTTGGTATGTTTCTTTCCCTTTGCTCACAGAACTTGTCAGTAACATGATAGATGTTACAGATATTATGAGAGGATTGGAAACAAAAATTGTACTCAACTAACTATACATAGGGCCATTAAAACTGGAAGTAAAGAATAGTGACAGTGAGAGAGGAGGTAAGAAGTTAGAAAGCATACATCTTGGATGAACAGGAAGGCTAAAAGTATAAATAATATAAAATATAAAATAAAATAAAATACAAAATAAAATAAATGGGAAAGAGGAAAGATGGGAGTTATGTGATTCGGTAATATGCCAACTGATGGAAGGAATCGGAATGGTGAGACCAAAGCCTGAAGGTCAAACAGGTTAGCCTAATATAGGTATGTGGCTGTACTATTATCTGTTAGTATGTAAAAGATTACCTCAAGCCTTAGTGGCTTAAAATAGCAATAAACATTTATTACCTTACAGTTTCTGTGAGGAATTAGGGGTGGCTTAGTTAGGTGGTTCTGTTTCAGGAGGTCTCGATAGGTTAAGATGTCAGTTGGTGTTGCAGTCATCTGAAGGCTGGACTGGGGTTGGGAGATCCCTTCACTCATATAAAGGACCACTCTCATGGGTGATAAACTGGTGCTGGATGTTGACAAGAGGCCTACTCTAGTTCAACACTTGGCAGCTGATTTCCCTCAAAGTTGGCAGTCCGAAAGAGCAAGGTGGAAACTGCAGAGCTTGTTTATGATCTAGCCTTGGTAGTCACATGTCATCACTTTTGCCACATTCTGTTCATTAGAACCAAGTCACTAAGTCCAGCCTAAGTTCAAAGGGAGTGGAATTAGGCTTCATCTTTTAAAGGAAGGAGTGTCAAGAATTTGCAGGCATATTTTAAAAATACCTTGTTAGCCTCCTCAGTTCAGCAAGACTCTAAGCTTCACCTTCCATACTGCAGTAGGGAAATTGTCCCCACACAGACAGCTAGATAATCGTGGAACTTTGTGAATTTCTCTCAGGGATCAATGTCTTGTGTTGCCTGTTTTCTAATGCCTAAAAATAGTTTTTTTTTTTCCTTCCAATTTTATAGTAGTTTACAACGGGAAGCCTAGTTTGGTCCACTTGTTGGTATGGCCTATATAATATATAATCTTTCCGATGAGGAAGGATGAGTGTTATTTTTACTGGTGATTCTTATCTCAGTTGTCCACAGGATTTAGCGTATCTTTGCCTATATGGTAGACATTTTAGATGTGTCAAAATTGGAAATAAAATGTGTAATAGTTGTCTGTTGTGCTTAGTTTATATTCCATCACATTTGTTGTTAAATTTTATTTATTGTTTGTTTCTATTATTTCTACAGCCTCAACAAGGTCTTTGGTAAATAGCATTTAACAGACATTACATTTGAATGCAAAAAACATTATAGTCTTCCACAAACTTAAAATAATTTTTTCATGAGTTGTTTAAATTAGCACAGCTATTGCTTTGACTGGGCATTTTAGCTCAATTGCCTAGAAATTCTATTTGGAGAAAAGCTTATCTGAGTCTGGCTCTTTTCTAGATCTATGCTATGGCTGAGCTGCTATTATGAGCACATTTATACCCATGTTCTTTGTTATTTTTCTTTAGGATTCCAGACACTTGAATTTTCTGACATCAGAACAAGCTCTGGCTGATTTTGCAGAGTTAATCAAACACTTGAAAAGAACAATACCAGGAGCTGAAAATCAACCTGTCATTGCTCTAGGGGGCTCCTATGGCGGCATGCTCGCAGCCTGGTTCAGGATGAAATACCCTCACATTGTAGTTGGGTAAGTGCATTTGTCTTGGACATGAGTGCTTCTTAATGATTGTCAAGGCAAACTTAGAGACTCGTTTTGGGTAAAACATGTTCCATTCTATTGTACTGAGATTTCTAGTTTCTGTTTCATTAATGGTTATGTTATTTTTCTTACCAGTTTTGTTCAGTATCAGTTTCAATTTTAAAACTTGATTTAGAGATGTTACATATATGTTTTTTCTTTGCTTTTTCCTTGTTTTTCTTGCCTTTTAGAGCTCTTGCAGCTTCTGCCCCTATCTTGCAGTTTGATAATTTGATACCTTGTGGTGTATTTATGAAGATTGTAACTACAGATTTTAGGAAAAGTGGTCCATATTGTTCAGAGAGCATCCGCAGGTCCTGGGATGCCATTAATCGACTTTCAAATACAGGTAAGCTTTTATTAAGAGAATGGGATTGTGGGTTTTTTTTAACCCTTGCATTTATTAAATTCAACACTTCTCACTTTTTAAGTAAACATTTTATATTAAAGTATAACATACATACAGAAGAGTACACAAATCAAAATGCATATCTTTATGAATTTTCACAAAGTGATAATAGAGTATAATTAACATCCCGATCAAGAAAGAACATCGTCAGCATCTTAAAAATCCCCTCGTGCTTTTTCAGTTACTGCCTCCACACCTACCGAGCCAAATCACTATCCTCACTTCTGGAACCATAGATTAATTCTGCTTGTTCTTGAATTTTTTAGTAATTGGAATTGCATAGTATGTATTATTTTTGTGTTCACTGTCTTGCTTAATGCTGTTAGATACATTCATTTGTTTTAAGTTGTAGCTTATGCATTGTCTTTGTCTAGAGAGTTTCTGTTTATTTGTTTCTTTCAACAAATACATAAAAGTGAGGAATACTTCATAATACTAATTCTGGTAAACTCCATGAGGATAGGTAACTTGTCTATCATGGTGTTCTCCAGTTGCTCTAAAAGTGCTTTATTGAATGTTGAAAAAACATTCTTGGAGAAGTGGTATAGAAGATTTTGTTTTCTAAAATACTATATGAAGAATAAATGATCTGTAAAGCCTTCTGTTGACCAGTACATTTTAGATTCCAACAGTGTGATTCTCTTCCCAGGCAGAGGTTTACGGTGGCTTACTGAAGCCCTTCACTTATGCAACCCGTTAGATTCTCAGGACATCCAACATTTGAAAGACTGGATTGCTGAAACCTGGGTGAATCTGGCTATGGTAGACTACCCTTATGCATCTAACTTTTTACAGCCTTTGCCTGCTTGGCCTATTAAGGTAAGAAAATGTCCCCTCATCATTTTTAATAACATAGTTCTCATTTGTGTGTGTGTGTGTGTGTGTATGAATGTGCATGTACATTCTCTGACTTTCAGCATCAGAGAAAATTTCAGTAGATCTGGAGTTAGTCAAACCTGAGCTCTGGAATCGCTCTGGAGTTGGTCAAACCTGGGCTGGAATCCTCGGTTTTGGCACTTTCTAGTTACATGACCTTGGGCATGTTCCTTTACTTTTCTGAGCCTCAGTTTCCTCATTTGAAAAATGGAGATAAAATGTATCAATTATAAATTTGTATGAATTAGAAATAAGAGCAGAGCTGCTGCTAATGGAATAATTACTATGTGCCAAATTCTGGGTTGTACACTTTGCATACATAATTTACTCAATCTTTACGCTATACACAGGCAGTCCCCAGGTTACGGACGATCCAGCTTACAGTGTTTTGTACTTACGGAAGGGCTCCCAAGTCTCCCCTTAAGGATAATTTAAAATTAAATAATTAAGTTAATAATTCTGGGACTAGTTTCTCTCATGCGTGTAAATAAACCCGCATGGCATAAGTGGTTCACTGGAGCAGCATCTTTACACTAGTGGCTGGTCTTTCTTTATTTTTTACATGGTCGCTTATGCGCAGCATCACTTTCGTCTTAACTTTTTTATTTGATATTTTGAGTCTGTGTTTACCTTTATGCCCATGGATCCAAAGTGAAAGTTGACTGCAAGTCCGGATGAGCCTGCAGCAAAGAGAAAGATGATTACAATGGAAATGAAAGTAGAAATAATTAAGTGTTCAGAGAAAGGCCAGATACCATCATTCACTGGGAAAGCATTAGGCTTTAATTGCTCTGCTATCAGAACAATTTATAAAGGATAAAGTGAGAATAATAGAACATGAAGAAGGCAGTGCTCCAATGAAAGCAGCATAGTGGGTTAATTATTGAAATGGAAAGGTTATTATGGATTTAGAAGACCAAAATACGCTTGTAACATTCCTATTAAACTATGTTGATGCAAATGTTGATGCAACATTAGGTGTCAACATTTAATATTCTTTTTTGAAATGTTTCTTATCTCCTATATAAACTTTTTGAATGAGTTTGTTTTTATGTTTTATTTGTTTGAATTAAAATAAAGAGCACAGTAGTTTCTGTAACTTATTATTACAGTACAGGAATATTAATATTATTACACTATGTTATTTTTACCACATATGAGCCATTATAGTATTGTTATGAGTATCTTTGTATCTGTGCTGTTCATCAGAGATCCAAGTTACTTACAGATAAATCCGACCTAACGATGTTCTCAGGAATGTATCTCACTGTAACCCTGGGACTGCCTATATATACGTAATGCCTGGATCTGTGTAATACATGGTTGATGCTTAATAAATGGTAGCTGTTTTCATAGTACTATGATCCACACAGCTGCTAAAGCATTCTGAGTGCTACAAGCATTGTGAAGGGGTGATTCCCATGCAGCATGATAGAGTAGAAAGAACATTGACTTGGGTCCTAAAGGTTTGATCCAGAACTTCCACTTAACCAGCTGTATGATCTTCGGCAAAGTGCTTTTCTACCCCAACCTTTTGTGTCTTCCTCTGCAAAATGGGATAACAATGCTTACATACTAAATAGGGTTGTGCTGAGAATCAAATAAAACATTGGAGGTAAAAACACTTTGGAAAGTGTAAAGACACGTTACACTATAAATTTTAAGGTTTTTTTTTTCATGTCAAAATTCTTTATTGTATATGCTATTTTTAAGCATTCCTTTGTAAAGAACTTTCCTCTTAGTTTTAAAAACAAATGCTGGTCAACTTGATGGTAAAGTTTAGAGAATATAACTGACTCTACAGCTAGAATGGGTACTGGAAATGAAAATAGAATTGGTAATATGAGAGCTGGATTGCAAAAGCACTTTGAATTTAACTGTCCCTTTGAACTATTACATATATACCTTACTTAAAACTTTGTAACTAAAATTGAACAAGTCCATTTGTTATTAGAGTTATTTTTCTTCATGTAAAAAGTAGAATGATGAGTGAGTATCTTACACATAGCAGGCTGGAGGTAAATATGTATTGAATTGAATTTTGACAATACAGAGTTATTAGAGAGAGCAGATCTCTCTCATGTTAAGAAAATCTGGATCAAAATAATAAAGAGAAATGAAATCTAGACCACTTAGTCTCCATAAATGTGTATGTGCTAATAATGCCTTATCCGTCTATATTACTGTTTACGAAGCACTTTCATATATGCTGTCTCATTTAATCCTTGAAAAATACTGTGGGGGAAAAAGAGCTATAATCTCAGATTTTTGGAGAAGAAATTAACGCTCAACTAAGAGGTACTGGAAGTGGGATTTGAACTTGGTTCTGCTATTGTTCAGAGCCTATGATCTACCATATTGCATTGAATTAGCAGGAGACTTGACCGAAGGTTTGAGCAGATTGCTGCTCACAGTGTGACATCAGATTTAACTCAGTACTCTGTGTACTAGGAGAGAATTATATTTGCATCTTTATTCCCACTTGAAGAACAAATGAGTTGTCAGATGATGAAAACATATGGGAAATGCCCTTATTATTTAGAACAGAGATTGGCAAACTTTTTCTGTAAAGAGCTATGTTTTAGGCTTTGCTGGCCATATGGTTTCTGTAACAATTACTCAACTCTGCAGCTGTAGCATGAAAGTAGCCATAGATAATATGTAAATGAATGAGGATGGATGTATTCAATAATACTTTATTTATAAAAACAGGCAGTGGGCTGGATTTGGCCTGGTGGTTGTCAGCTTGTTTACCCCTGAGCTAGAAAAAGAGCCAGAGGAATATAGCTGTTTAGTGTCAGTTGGTTTATTGTGATTTGGAACAATAAGAAAAAAAAAAGAAAAACTTTGATCTCCCCACTTCTTTAATGTTCCTTTTGAGATATTTTGCTGTTGAGTCTTAAATATAAATAAATATTTTATCCTTTGCTCTCTTAAATACTTACTCAAAACCAGTGGAATACACCTTAAATATTTTGTTGTCTATTTTTGATTTAGCACAACCCTTCTTTTATCTTTTGTACATATAGATAATAAAAGTTTAATTTTAAGGTAAGATAACTTTGTGTCTTTCCCCCACAATCACCTTTTAGTCCTTTTATCCAGGATTAATACTTGTCATTCTTTTCAGTTATTTCTTACTGACGTTATTCTTTCTCTTGACAAACCAAAGAATTCTTGATTGCTTATATTTATGATTCTGTTTCCTGCTTGCACACCACCAGAAGTAATCTATCTTGCCTCTTGCCTGAGAAACTTCCTTTGCGTCTCTCTGTTTCTAGTTTCATCCAATAGTTAGTTACCCATCTGATTTTCAGAATTTTTCCACTACATGTCTTTCTCCCAAACTTATAGCTTCAGATCACTTTCTTTCACTGTTCATTCAATTTCTCCTTTCCTGACCCCCCTCTCTGTTCTCCCAACCCACTAATCCCTGAAACACTACCCAGTTGGGGACCACTCTTTCACTTGGATAGTTCCATTTAACCAGGACTCCCCCTCCCTCTGATACACTTCCTTCTTTTTAAAGGGCTGACAAACAGCCGTCCTTTTCTCAGTCTGTAACTCAGGCTTAGGATGGTGAGATAATATGTAACAGTTGGGTTATGAAAAAAAGCAGGTGATTTCCAATTCTGTCTGGATCTTGTACAGTTCTGAAGGATCCATGGGCAGCGACTAAATGCCATTTTCCGTGTCAATTCAAGTATCGTTCTTTTTAATTTGTCTTTGGGCTTTGCACACTCAGACTCCATTTGCTTTTGTTTACTGTTAACAGAAGCTGCAACATTCATGCAGAAATAATCATGGACTTGGCTGGTAGAACACAAGGAAGAAGAGAAAAGGGAAATAGAAAACCCCTCTGTCATTTGACTGTTCTGTCAGCATAAATACTACTAGGTCTCTTCTCAGCTTAAAGAGCGGTTTTAAAGGATACTGTAATATTTTAATTTTGAAATTAGTTTTTAGCTGGTAACTCATCCAATATACACTATATCATGCAGATAGATATAGTGAAATAATAAGACATAAGATGGAAAATCTCTTCCGTTTGTCTTGGTGTTTGGTAATGTATGCGACCTCTCTGGGTGGTTTAAGCGGTTTAGATGCATTCTATGAAAAGAGAGGTTTTAATGACAAAACTAATGTGATTATCTGAGTGAGTGTGAGAGGGGTATTGAAGCCTTAGAGAAAGAAAATCTGTTAGAAAAGCTGAATGTATCTGCTTAATCCTTTCTCTAATGTGGATGCACCATCCTCTCTGAGAGGAGGTTGGTCTTTTTTTTAAAACCTATCTTCTTTCCTTCCTCTTTTAAAAAAAATTTCTTTCTGCCCCCTTTTTCTTTCTCTTATTCAAATGCTTATCTTCCTTGGTAGCAACACTTAAAGCTTTTAAACAAATCATTATCTTTACTTTCTTTGGTGTATCTGGGGTCAAAGGGCAAAACCTAAATATTTGGGTGTAGATCTGATTAGTTTGGTACAAAGATTGCATGAATGCTCTGCTTTCTCCACTATTTCTATACTCTTTAAACCAAGAATTATTAAAATGGGCATCTAATATTCTTATTAAGAGTTTCCTGAATTGAAAGTGAATTAAGTCTGTCCATGTCAAGTTTTTATTCCTGAGCCTCACATTAATCTACTATTTTAAAGTTTTCATTTTACTATTAAACATTTAAAAAATTTTATGACTTTATATGGCCACAGAATTCCCTCTAATTTTTTGCCTAAAATAAATAAACTTAGAAAAATATAAAGGCAACCTAAGAATAAAAACAAAATTTGTTTTAAAAATTAAGCATGAGATTGCAGGTATATTTAGGCACTGTTTCTATTATTTTTCTCTTAACTTTTTCTAAAGGTTAATTTTCCATAACGTTCAAAGTTAGGTATGTGTAGTATAGTGGTTATATATGAAAGCTCCAGAGAGTCTGCATTTGAATTCTAGCTCTGCCACTTCCTTGGTATGTGGCTTTGGGCAAGTTTCTTAACCTCTCTGTGCTTCAACTTCCTCATTTGCAAATTGGGGATAATAGCAACTGTAATGTTTGTTAAGGTTGTTATGACTATTTCCTAGTATCTTTGTAAATAGTAAGCACTAAATTAATGCTAATTATTTAATAATAATAGCTATTGTTATTACTATATAAAATCAGGAAGGCAGATTATTATATCAAGATTTTTTGTTGAAAGTCTAAGTTCAGACCTATTTTTATAGGTGTTTTTTTTTTTCCACGTCAGGTGGGTAACGTGGCGACAGTGGAACAAGGTTTAAGGGAGGCACATCTCGCATATCTTGCATGAACGTGAATACTCAATCATCACTCTTCCTGTATACGTAGTTTTTAAATTGTGTATCTATAGCCAGACATCTCTGAGCTTGTTTTCTTCTCTGTGAAATGGGAATTGTCATTATATAATATGTTGCCCCGTGGGTCACTGTGGGGAAAGAACCTGGCCTCAAGGAATATTCAATCGTTGTACTAGCAACCTCCGCCCCAGTTGTTCCCATTTCAGGGCAGTTTATGGCATGAGTAGGAATGATATGCCTTATGCAGAGATTATTTAGAAGACGCTGTTTGCTAGTGCTCACAAAATAAATAGAAAGTATAGTTTACCAGGTGTTGAGTATCTGGACAGAGATGGTTGGCAGGGACTCTTTCCTTGTCTAATTAGATCAGAGTCATGTAAACAATCGACAGGCCAAGTGCTTGCCCCCATTAAGTGGGTGGTAATCTGCAAATTGTGGAGTTTAAGCTGAAGTATTATATGCGGTTGAACCAATATTGCTGATATTTGACTGTGTTAGACTTATAAATGTGGGAATTTCATATGGTTTAATTTAATATTTACATGTTTTATGCATCCTATAGATCTTTGATAAAAGTATGTGAATATCTCCTTTTGAATTTCTATAATCCTTAAGTAAGCATGAGAGTAAGGCTGGTCTTGCTGATATTACTTCAGCATTTTTTTTGAAACTTCATTCATTCTGCTACCAAAATTGTTAAGGAGGTGCATGGAGATATTAGTGATTGTGTTCTTTACACTAGAGAATTATGCTTGGATTCGCCGAATCTTTGAGTTAGAAAAGAACTTTAAAACCATAGAAAATAAAATTCCCATAGTAAATTTGCAGATATTTTTGCAAAAAAATTTTTAAGTGACATTTTTTCAGGTCACATATCAAGCAGACTGCTAGAATTATAAATTGATACTTCCTTTCTATAAGACAGTTTAACAGGGTGTACCAAAGGCTTTAAAAATGTTTATCTCCTTTGAACCAGTAATTCCTCTAAGGGTTTATCTCAAGAAAACAATTAAGAATATATATAAAGATTTAGCCCTAAAGATATTTACTGTAGCTGTATTTGTAATAATGAAAGGTTGGGAATGATGCAAATGACCAATTTTAGGGTTGCTTCAACTATTCTTCAACTCCCCATTCTGACTGCTCCCCTTGGGATTTTATAACATTGGTCAGAGTCCTTCTTAAGGAATGGTGCTCAGAATGTACCCCAAGGGTGATCTGACCTCACAGAGGACAGTGGGCCCAGGATTGTCCTTAATCTGGACATGGAATTTCTATCAGCAGAGGCCAAGTTTCTGACCACGATGTTCTCTCTGTGTAACTGGGGCTGCCAGAACCCAATTATTGTCAGCCAGTGCCAGTCTCCCGCCATGCTTGTGTCTTTTAAAGAGTGACAGTAACTGCTATTTGTGGAGATGGCTATTCATAGGGACTCCTTTTCTTTGCTTGACAGAGGCTCAGTGTTCTAAGCTGTAAGAGGGGCTCTGATGCCAGCATGTGAGTCACACTCACTTGCTACTGTTCTTTTCCAGAGTTTTGGGCCACTTGTTGCTGCATATCAGCACCTCCTTTCCCCCTGCCCAGCTTGCATTTCCCCTCGCCTCATCTACTGTGCTGTGCTTGAACATAATGCTCTTCTCTGCATTCCACGTGTCTACTCTTCATTTTGTGCTGGATTTTGAAAGAGTTGAGTCTGCTGTTGGTGTCCAGATTCAGGAAAGAATGCAGATCAACTGTTGGCAGTAGATAGTTGGCAATCTTGTGATTGGTTCTTGGTTTTTATATTGTCTTGAGTATTTCTTACTGGCATATTTCTTAGGAACATTTTTTGAGAAAAGTGCTATGCAAATATTAGGTATTTTTTTTACTTAGCATGAATAATTGAAAGTTGTCAAAATAGTAAAATACTATTTGACTTTTAATTTTGACTTTTGACATTTAATTTTTCTTTGTGTTTTCTTCTTGCTTTAAGCTTGATAGTTTTGTGAAGCTCTCAGTTAAGCTCAATTCTGTTTCTTCATGTACATCCTAAACCCTGGTATACCTTATTCTTATGACCTCACAGCTACTTTTTAAAGGTATATCCTATTATTTGGACATCTTAATTTCTGACTTTTCTCACACTCAGCATTTCTGGAAACTTACTGGGAACGGTACATGTTCTGCCTTCCTTTTGGCAAGTCCATTGCAGTTGAGCATGTTAAATGCTGTGAGAAATCCTGCAGTTAAGAAAATTGTTCACATTTGCTAATACAACATTTCTTAAAATTATTTGACTAAGAAACCTTTTTTCACAAAGTGCCAATTAACAATTTATAGAAATAGTGTTGTACAGAAGACATTTGGAGAGAGATATTGAATTTTCCCTACAATTCATTTCTCTGTCTTTTCAAGTTTCCCTTTTTTTCAGGAAAGTGTTGCAGGTAGAATTGCGATGAGGGGCCCAGTTTGCTTGTAGCTTCTTACAACCTTTCTTAGTACCTTCCTTTCCTGACTGGGAGCATGTCCCCAGCCCAGACCGTGTGGTCACTCCTCCTGGGCTCCTTTTTTCCTGGCCCCTTCTCTGGATTTGTCTCTTTTTTGTCAGAACTTGCCTATCATATATATTTTTTCCATATGAAATGGGAAAGGACCAGATCACTGAATTCGTGTCAATGTGACGATAGAGGATGTGAGCTTAATGTGTTTCCTTGCCATGGGGGCTATTTGCCATTTAATAAGGGGATACTTCCTAAGCTGTGTAGCATAATGGTTAAGATGTATATTTCATAACCAGAGACATATGGGGACAAATCTAGGTCTTATCATTTGATAACTGAGTGACCTTAAATAAGGTGATTTAGCCTAATAATTAGTTTCTTCCTATAAAATAGTGGATAATAATCTATTTGATAGGGCTTTTAAGGATTATATGGTATAATGATTATTAACTCAGGGTTAGCTAATCAGTAGGTATTGTTGTTATTATTCACCTAGGATCCCATTGCTTGTGATTTTCCCCCAACATTTTGTTATTAAAATTTTCAAATATACAGACAAGTTAAAACAATTGGACAGTGAATACTCATAAACCTACCACCTAAATTCTATAAATAATATTTTGTTGTATTTGATTTATCACATATCTATTCATTCACCTATCTATCCCTTTATATATCCCTTATCTAATTTTTTTTAATGCACTTTTAAGTAAGTTGCAGACATCTTCCCCCTAAATACTTCAACTTTATTATCATTAACTGGAGTTCAATATTTATTTATGATTCTTCTTTTGGGGGAGAGTATAAATCTAGATACATTGAAATACACAAATTGTAAGTATACCATTTGTTATGTAACCCAAACCTCTATGAATATACAGAATATTTCTGTACCCCAGAAATTTTCCCATGCCTCAGCATAGTCAGTCTCTACCTTTACTCCTAAACCCGAATATGGCCTGTGAGTTTTAGAGCTAGAATTTCAGGCACTAATTATATACTAGTGATAGGAATATTTGGATGCTAAGGAGTTGCAGGATATGCTTCTTTTATTACACCACAGTATTGGAGCTTCATGTAGCTTTTCCATAAGAAATTATAAAATTTGCATTTTCATAATATTAATTCAGCAAACATTTAGTTATCAGATATTAATATTTGCTAAGTATGGAGGGAGACATTCTGGAATCAAGTGAGCATGATAGAGCATCAGGGGCTCTGACAGAAATAGGTACAGGGTATAGTGGAGGCACTAAGAAGAGACTGGTGTGGTTCTTCCCAACTGGGACACATAGGCAAGGATGGCCTCAGAGAGGAGGTGATATTTGAGCTGAATATTATAAAGATGAGTTGATGTTTGCCAGGCGATAGTGGAGTAGGAGAGTGGGAAAGGGCGTGAAGAAGGGCAAAAAGGAAGGAAGGAGTTTGGTGTGGCAGGGAATGGTTTTGCTAGGCTGGAACAAAGGCAGCAAAGATGAAGCTAGAGTGGTAGGTGGAGAGGACTTTGCATACTATGCAAATGGCTTTGGTTTAGTTCTGTAGCTTGAGGAGTAATTTAAGAGGTTTATAAAGGGTTATTATACTCAAGAGATAGAAATTGTCAAGCAGTGAAAGTAGATGTTTAAAAATGTTTTATGACCAAATCAAAATCATATTTCTTCTTTGTGTTATTAAACTATCACTCATTTTATATTTGTGTTCTGACTCTTCCCCGTTTCTCTCTCTAAAATGATAGGTAGCGTGCCAGTATTTGAGAAATCCCAATGTATCTGATTCAGTGCTGCTGGAGAATATTTTCCAAGCTCTGAATGTATATTATAATTATTCTGGCCAGGCACAATGCCTGAATATGTCAGAGACAACAACTAGAAGTCTGGGATCCCAGGGTTGGAGCTATCAGGTAAGTGTATATAATTTCTGCAAATGGAACTTACTTTTCACTGGCACAGTTGTGCTGCAATAGAGTACACGAGGTTTTGTCACCTAATCTGGATCCAGTTCTGGCTTTGTTACCTTACACTGTGAGACCCTGGACAAGTTTCCTTGTTCATTCTTTCATTTAATCATCACCAAATATATATTTAGTGCTTACCATGTGTCAGGCACTCTTCTACACTTCATAAGTCCTATAAAAGAAGCATAAAAGAGAGGAAGTCTAATTTGACTTTCTCTGAGCCATCATTCCTTCATCTGCACAATGAGCCTAATAATGATATTTTCCTTCCAGAGTTGTTTTGAGGATTAAATATGATAATTGATGTGAAAGAAAGCAGTTTGCAAAGAAGGAATATGTAGTCCTAACTTCTGTGACTTCTCAACCCAGCCTTTCTATGTATAATGAGAGGTTGGATGGCATAGAAGTAAAGAGCAGGGGCTCTGAAGCTGGCTTGCCTGAGTTTAAACCTGGCTTTGCTATTTACCAGCTAACATATTTTATTTAACCTCTTTTTGCCTTATTTTCTCATTGGATCCTCTCTTGGTTTGCTTCTTAGGCCTGCACAGAAATGGTCATGCCTTTTTGTACCAATGGTATCGATGACATGTTTGAACCTCGTTTGTGGGACTTGAAGGAATTTTCTGATGACTGTTTTAACCATTGGGGTGTGAGACCGAGACCTTCCTGGATTTCTACCCTGTATGGAGGCAAAAACATCAGTTCACATACAAACATAGTTTTCAGGTGAGTTTTAGCTGGTCCAAAGAGAAACTTTGGTTGATGGAGACATTTGTAGAATAGAACCAGGGAATGGTGGACAATAAAACTATAAAGGATACAGTAGTGGTACCCATTATGTTTTCCTGCTCCTTGAAAGACAGAGGATACTGAGATAATGATGTTATGCCCTATTACCAGTATACTTTATTAAAGGCTTAAAAAGCTATAGCAACACAATTTTGAAATATTTAAAAAAACCTCTCCAGCACAAAATGAAGCATCACCTGTTTTTCTCAATTTGTCTTGTTATTGTTGTTAATGACCATAAAAATTTATCATTATTTATTTGACAGACTTTTGAAATGCCCATACTGTTTTGTTCCAAGTACTGCATGAGGCGCTTTAAACAAATTACCTAGCTAACTCCTCACAACAACCTTGTGAAGTAGTTGTTATTGTCATTTTTTTTACTAAGGAGGAAACTGAAGGTCACTGTGTTTAGTACACTTGCCAAAGCTCATCCAGCTTTGTTTTCGTTACTAGGCGATAAAGCCAGATTTCTACCTTTGCCTATCTGACTATAAACCCCACGTTTGTTCTTCTACATTAACTGCCCCTTATAAAGTGACTTATTTACAATTGGTTCATATTAGAGTTAACTGAGTAGACTCTATGTGTGTCTGACTGTGACTTTAAAATTTCTGTGTTCTATAATAGCTTGAACATTAGGTTGTCAGCTCTTAAAGGAACAACTAGTTAATCAAACATTTCTCCAAATCTATATGAAAAAAAGGAGTGGGATTACCGCTACATACCTCTTAACCAGAGATACTGCTTAAATTGTTAATGTCATTCTTTTTTTATAAGCTCTTTTAAACAAGTGTCAGATTTGGCCTTTAGTACATAGCCAGTAGCTTTTAGGAGTGAGGAGTGCTGCTTGTCTGGAGTTTGACTTTCTGAGTTTAAGCTGGTGGCACTTTCCACTTTGCAAAAAAGCCTCTGACTTATTAGACTCTTGCTATTTTCTAACCCAGCAGGATACCTGTCTCCAAATAAAAGATGAGACATTTTAGTGGCAAACTTAAAGATTCTTTTTGTTTAATTTCCTTAAATTGTGTTCCTTGTCCTCTACAGTATTCTTCAAAACTATATCCTTCAACTTAGTCTTATGAAGTTACAGTTGAGCAAATTAATCTGCTTAGGATATTTAAGAAAGCTGTGCCAAATTTAGGGTGTTTGAAATTAGGAAAACTTGAAAGGACTGAAAAAGACCAAAGTATAAGCCTTGGATCTGTCTTAGTCCACTAGTGCTGTATAACAAAAATACCTGAGACTGGGTAATTTATAAACAGCATAAATTTATTGCTCACAGTTATGGAGGCTGAGAAGTCCAGGATCAAGGCCCCGGCAGGTTCAGTGTCTGGTGAGGGCCTGATCTCTGCTTCCAAGATGGCACCTTGAAGGCAGCATCCTCACATGGCAGAAGGCTGAAAGGCAAAAAAGGGCCTGAGCCTGTTTCTTCTAGCCCTGTTATAAGGCACTAATCCATTGATATGGGTGGAACCCTTGTAACTTAATCACTTCCCCAAAGGCCCCACCTCTTAATACTACCACAATGGGGATTAAGTTTCAACACATGAATTTTGGGGGACGGTTGGACCATAGCTGTCTCCAGGCTCATCTTTATTCCATCAGAGGAGGAAGTACTTTGTCAATTTCTTCTTTTTCTTTAGGAGCTTATCTTCATGGAGTATTTACACGAATTTTTCTAGCATTCTGAACTTTAAGCTCATCCATCTTTGCTTTGACCCTACAAAGCCGAAGTTCAAGTTGAATTGTTAAGTGGAGTCTTTAATTTTTGTATGAGGTTTTAATATATGAGTTTTGGTCAAATACATTGTCCTTTTTTATTGGTTTTCACCATTACAGATAAGTATTTCAGTTATCCATTTATTCTTTTATATTATTTTTCTCAAGCTATTAAAATCATCATCATCATTGTCATCATTAGAGGAAGGGGTATATTTCATGAGAAAAGTTTTGGGAATAGAACAGAAGTCAGTAAATGGAAATTATAGCTCAGTGTAACAAACTTTTAGCTCAGTGTAAGAAAAGACTTTCAAAAAGAGCTATGCAGAAGTAGAATGAGCTGTCTAAAATTAATTGTTCTTTGATTCTCAGTTTTATCTTCTGTGAAATGAGAATAATAATACCATTCACCCCATGAAGTTGTTTTGATGCTTAAAACAGTTAACCCAGCAAAGTACTTGACCCAGACCTGGCTAATATATATGCTTAAAAAATATTTGTTGAACAAATAAATGAATGTACACTCTCCACCTTGCACTTTATGTTCTAGCCACAGGGAACAGAGTATATGGCCCTGAATGTCCCTTTCTTTCCTCTTCTTTCCCTTTTCTTAAGAATCAGGCCTCCTCCAAGAAATCTTCCCTGATTCCTCCAGGGAGAATAGGTTTCTGCTACCTCCTTAGTTCCACTAGCACCTGTGAATACCATTTACTACTCTGTGTGGAAATTATCTGTTTTTGTTTCTCCCTGCCCAATGAGATTGTGATCTTCTCAGTGTCAGGGACCTCATCTTAATCATCTGTGTGCCTCTAGCACCTGCTACATTGACTGGCACATAATGGTTGCCTGCTGATTTTGTGTGTTGATAAGGATGAGTAATGAAATCTACAGCTCAGGAAGGCTTTAGAAGCATGTGAAAGTTTCAAGGCAAGACTGTATGAAGATGCTGGTTTATCTTTTTGAGGCGGCAAGTATACTCTTACAAAGAAATCTTTTTCTATAGGCTGCTAGGCATGAAAAATCCAGTGTAAAAATTTCAAGTTATCAAAAAATTGAAAATTGGCCGGGCGCGGTGGCTTACGCTTGTAATCCTAGCACTCTGGGAGGCCGAGGCGGGCGGATTGCTCAAGGTCAGGAGTTCAAAACCAGCCTGAGCGAGACCCCGTCTCTACTATAAAAATAGAAAGAAATTAATTGGCCAACTAATATATATATAAAAAATTAGCCGGGCATGGTGGCTCGTGCCTGTAGTCCCAGCAACTCGGGAGGCTGAGACAGCAGGATTGCTTGAGCCCAGGAGATTGAGGTTGCTGTGAGCTAGGCTGACGCCACGGCACTCACTCTAGCCTAGGCAAGAAAGCGAGACTCTGTCTCAAAAAAAAAAAAAAAAAAAAATTGAAAATTCTCTTTTCTGAAGAAAGCAAATTCCCAAAGTAAAGGAGCAGCCTCAGGAGTCTCTGTTCTGTGTACTTAGTGGCTACCAGCTATAAAACGTTTCTGGTTGTTAAATAAGAAAATGTCCAAGGAACCCTGTAGAAAGTGTCTTTGTGACCAGGCTTCTCTCCTTAGATTGTTGCCTCACACAAATCCAAGTGTGACTGCTTTGCTGGTTGGAAGATTCAATCAGTGATTGTTGGATTGGAGATTTGCCAGTGAAGGCTTTGAAGTCAGGTAGACCTTGATGGCATTCTGCTTCCCTGAATTAACTGCATGGCCTTGGGCAAACTGCCAATAACTATATAACAGGGTTATTTCAAGGAGTAAATAGATTAGTGTGGAAGTAAACACCTGAAAGTAGGGATTTTGTCAGTTTTGTTCACTGTTGAATCCCCTATGTTCAATCAGTGCCTGATATATAGCAGGCACTCAGTAAGCGTTTATAGAATGAATGAGACCTTAACAAACAGTAGCTGTTAATAGTCTCATCTCAGCAACTTTTTTTTTTTTTTAATTTTCACAGTATTTTTGTCAGGAGGATTTATTTTCTTTCCCAGCCTATAGACATTATTTTATCAACAGTCATTCTCAGTTATTTAAATATAAATCCGAAAAGAGTATCCCTGAGGAGCTGGTTGGTTTAACATCATTTCTCTTGCAAACTAATTGTTGCCAGTGATGAAGTGAGGCTCCCTGTTGAGAATTTTACCCAGGCATCTAGATCCTCTGATGAAAGCAGGTTTTTTTTTTTTTTTTTTCAGATTTCCCAATGATTGGTTTAGCTTTCACATGTCTAGGACCAAGAAATTCAAGTCCATGTGCATCTTAGGTCTCTCAGCAACTCCAAACACTGTTGCTAAGCCACTAGGCTATTTCAGATGACCTTTTAAATCAAATGCAGTTTGCTTATTATGTGGCTGTTGGGATAGCTTTTTTGTTTTGCAAATAATGGAGAGTTTCCTATCTGGGTTGGGCCTGTCAAATTGGAATAATGATAAAGGCTATTTGTTCACTTAAGAGAATTCAACTCCCTGTATAGTTTACTTTAAAAATTTATCTGGTAGCTGAAAACTAAGGCTTCTGTTCTGCATGGGAGTTTTCCTTTTTGTTTTTAATAAAACCAAAAATGTACATTTTTGGAGTTTTCTTTTAATTAAAAAAATTATTATTATTATTATTTTTTTTTGAGATGAAGTCTCACTGTGTCCCCCAGGCTGAAGTGCAATAGCTATTCACAGGTGCAATCATAGTGCACTGCAGCCTGGAATGGACTGATATTTTTTCAAGAAAAATGTTATTGAATTGTAATTGAATGGAACATGGAATTTCAGTGTATTTTTTATTTATTTATTTTTTATTTTTGAAGCTGAATCTCTTTGAAGCTGAAGCTCTGTTGCCCAGGCTGGAGTGCAGTGTGGCGTCTCATTGTACATAGCTCACTGCAACCTGGAACTCCTGGGCTCAAGTGGTCTTCCTGCCTCAGCCTCCTGAATAGCTGGGACTACAGCCCGTGCCACCACACCTGGCTAATTTTTCTATTTTTTGTAGAGATGGGATCTCACTCTTTCTCAGGTTGATTTACAACTCCTAGACTCAAGGAATCCTCCTGCTTGGGCCTCCCAAAGTTCTGAGATTACAGGCGTGAGCCACCACACCTGGCTAAAAGTGTATTTCAAACACACATATAGGTGATGTACTTAAGTGTTTATTTTCTCATTTAATTTGTACATTTACCTAGAAGTAGTTGATCAAATTAGTATTCTGACCAAATTTCTATGAGAAACACTTTCACATCCATTTTCATGATTCATTTAACTCTCAGAGGTGTTAATACTCTCATGGTTACAGAATGTGATAATAATTATACTGCATGCTTGTGTAGTATTTTATGGTTTATACCTATTTCTACATTTATTACTTAACTTGGGCCTCATAATATCTCTGTGAGAAAGGGGCATTATCTTTCTTAAAAAATTTTTTTTCTATAATACCCATGATAATCAAGGTTTGCAGGGATCAGTTAACTTACCCAGGGAGGGTCCTGCAGCTAGTAAGGATATAAAACTTAGATCTGCTGACTTAATGTTTTGTTCTTTTCACTGCTGCACACAGCTAAAGGTCAGTCTCTGTATATTTGTATTAATCATTTTTTTTTTTTTGAGACAGAGTCTCGCTTTGTTGCCCAGGCTAGAGTGAGTGCCGTGGCATCAGCCTAGCTCATAGCAACCTCAAACTCCTGAGCTCAATCAAGCCTCCTGCCTCAGCCTCCCGAGTGGCTAGGACTACAGGCATGTGCCACCATGCCCAGCTAATTTTTCTGTATATATTAGTTGGCCAATTAATTTCCTTCTATTTATAGTAGAGATGGGGTCTCGCTCTTGCTCAGGCTGGTTTCGAACTCCTGACCTCGAGCAATCTGCCCGCCTCAGCCTCCCAGAGTGCTAGGATTACAGGTGTGAGCCACCGCACCGGCCTGTATTAATCATTTATGTCAACTCTGCTTTCCCATGTAAAATGTACTGAAGTGACTTACAACATGTTCCTGGACTTATATATTTATAGATGTATATATGTAAGGTACCCAGTACAAGGCAACAGATAACTAGATACTTAAATTCTTTTTTCATTCAATCAGCAAATATTTGCTTGGCTCCTACTGTGAGTCAAGTCTGGTTCCAGAAACTGCGAGGATATAGAAATAAACAAAATGGACAAAAATCCCTGCCCTGCCCTCATGGAGTTTTAGTTTGAGAGATAAGATAGGTAATAAAACAAGATAGCATCTATATACATGTTATGAGGATATAAGTGCTAAGAAGAAAAAGATGAACCAGGAAAAGGGGTTATGAAATGTCAAGGGGAGGAAAAACAGTTGGAATTTTAGATTAGAGTGACAGGGAAGACCTCACCCAGGGGTAACTTTTGGAAAATGACTAGCAGAAGTAAAGGAGCTAGACATTAGGTTGGTCATGTGACAGGAATAAGCAAGGGTGAAAGCATTGAGAGGTAAATGTCTCCAGCATGTTCTCCTTCAGCTGGAGGGAGGAGAGGTCAGTGTGGCTGGAGTGGAGTCAGAAGGGAGAGAGTAGCAGGGGATGATATCAAAGAGGCAGAGAGCAGAGGGCCTGGGTCAGTAGAGACTTGTTGTTTCTAATAAGGACATAGGTTTCTACTGTGAACAAGATGGGAAAACTTGTAGTGTTTTGAGCAGAGGAATGACATAATCTAGTTCAGGTTTTAATAGGATGACATTGGCAACTCTATTGATACTAACTTGTAGAGGACAAGAGTAGAAGCAGGAAGATCAGTTAAAAGGCTATTGCAGTAATTCAGGGTAGAAAGAATGATGACTTCAGTCAGGGTGGTGGTAGTGGAGGTGGTGACAAGTTAGATTCTGGGTGTATTTGAAGATACAGCTGATAGGATTTGTTGACAGGCTGTGTGTTAAGCAAAGAGAGATTAAAGGGTGACACCAAACTTTTTGGCCTGAGCAACTAAAAAGATAGAGTTGCTATTAATAGAGATTGGGAAGATGGTGGGTGGGGTTGGCTGGCATTTGGGGAGTATCAGGAACTCAGCTTTGGACCTGGTATGTTTGAGATGTCTAATTTGACTTCCATGTAAAAATATCAAGCAGACAGTTGAATTTTGGTTCTGAAGTTTAGGGGAAAGGTCCTGGCTAGAGATATTATTTGGTAGTCTTCTGTGTATAGATTGTACTTATAACTGAGAGGTTTTTTATGATTATGCAATTTATGGGAATAATTTTATATACATGGAAATTTTTTTATTTCAGGCTTTGTAAACAATACCAGCAAAATAGACTGTGCATTAAACAAATGTCAGAACACATATAACAATGTTTTGTAAATGATTTCAAGTGTCATGTAGATAAGATATGCCAAGAGATGTCATGTAAGGGGAAAGTGCCATGGGGGAAGTATTTAGATCCAGGTATTTCAGTGTCAATTTTATTCTGAGGAATCTGAGTTTCTATGAGATAAGGTAGATAAGAGGCAAACTGGGGACTGAAACACAGGTGTGTCTGATCCTCAAGCTCATTTTCTTCTTACTCTGTACACAAGTCAAGAACTTATGAGCTGTTGACTTCCAACAGCAATCATGTGTCTATGAAATGCAATGTATAATAGTATAAAGTTGCACATTGAACTAAGGTTTTAAGACCTGAGTTTGAATCTCAGACTTGCCAAGATGAATGATTTGGGCAAGCCTTTTGACTTGTTTGGGCATCAGTTTTCTTGTCTATAAAAGGGTTGTAATTAAACCTACTTCCTAGGGTTGTTATAATGATCAAATGTGAAAGACTTTGTAAATTCTAAACCACTGTGGCATGTGTGGAGTTAATATTACTAGGGAGCAAATTGATTTACAGTAGCATCAAGAATAAAACATTTAGGGACAATCTTAACAAAAGAAGTATAAGATGTACACATTGAAAACTATAAAAACATTGTTGGAAGAAATTAAAAATCACTTTATATGGAAAGACATCTCATGTTCATGTATTGGAAGAGGTAATAATATTAATATTCAGATGGTAATACTCCTCAAATTGATCGATCTACAGATTCAATGCAATCTCTATCAAATTCCCAGCTGACTTTTTTGCAGAAATTGAAAGCTGATCCTAAAATTCATAGAAATACAAGGGACCCAAAATAGCCAAAACAATCTTGAAAAGGAAGGACAAATTTGAAGAACACACACTTCCTGATATCAAACTTGTTACAAAAGTATAATAGTCAATACAATATGATACTGGGATATGGATAGACATGTAGATAAATAGAAGAGAATTGAGAGCACAGAAGTCAACCCTCATATGTATGGTCAATTGATTTTCAACAAGAGTGCCAGGGCAGTTCATTATGAAAAGAATATGCTTTTCAACACATGATGCTGATAAAACTAGACATGCATATGCAAAAGAATAAAGTTGGATTCCTATTTCATACCATATAAAAATATTAACTCAAAAAAGGTTTAAATCTAATAGCTAAAGCTATAAAATTCTTAGAAGAAGACATAAGAATAAATTTTCATGACTGTGGGTTAGACAGTAGTTTCTTAAATATAATACCAAAACCACAAATAACAATAAAAAAATAGATAAATTGGACTTCATGAAAATAAAAAACTTCTGTGCTACAAGTGATACTATCAAGAAAGTTCAAAGATAGCATACAGAATGGGAGAAAATATTTGCAAATCATGTGTTTGATAAGGGACTTGTATCCATATTGTGTAATGAAGTCTTACAACTCAAAAAGAAAAAAACTGAGTAGACAGTCTTCCAAAGAAGATGTACAAATGGCCAATCAGCACATGAAAAGGTATTCAGTACCATCAGGCTCTTGGGAAATGCTAATCAAAACCACATGGGATACCATTTCACACCTACTAGAAGGCAATCACCTACTAGAAGGTAATCAAAAAGGCAGCTAATAATAAGTGTTGGCAAGACTATAGAGAAACTGGATGTTGCCAGTGGGAATGTAAAATGGTGCAGATACTTTGGAAAGCAGTCTGGCAGTTCATCAAAAGGTTAGGTTACCATATGTCTCAGAAATTCCTAGGTATATACCCAAGAGAAATTAAAGCATACATCCATACACAGACTTGTATGTGAATGTTCAAAGGAGCAATATTCATATTAGCCAAAAAATGGAAACAATACAAATATGTATCAACTAATTAGTGGATAAATAAAATATGATATATCCATACAATGGAATATTATTTGGCAATAAAAAGGAATAGTGTACTGATTCATGCTACAATGTGAATGAAACTTGGAAACATGCCAGGTGAAAGAAGCCAGTCACAAAAGGACCATCTATTGTAATCTTTTTTTGTGAAATGTCCAGAACAGGCAAATGAAGCACCTTTCTATATAACAGATTAGTTCCTCAGATCAAATCTCCCAGATTAGAAGTTTATAATTTTAGGCATCAAACATGTATTAATAAGAGGTTTCTCTTATCTGAATATAGATATGAAAAATTAACCTTAACTATTTTCTTGTTCTTGCTTGCAGCAATGGTGAACTAGATCCCTGGTCAGGAGGTGGAATAACCGAGGACATCACAGACACCTTGGTTGCCATCACCATCTCAGAGGGAGCTCATCATTTAGATCTCCGAGCCAGCAATCCCTTAGATCCCAGTTCCGTGCTGTTAGCCCGCACCTTGGAAGTTGGACACATGAAGAAATGGATCAAAGATTTCTATGGCAGGGCGGGGAAAGAAGAATTGAGAGACTTTTGATCATTTTCACTTTCTTCTTTTATTTTCACACCACCCACATTCCCATTCACTTTGGTTTTCTACATGTAATTACTTTCCCTCATTTATCATTAGATTTGGTGGGGCTGAGCTTGAAACAGAAGAGAGGATGATGGTGGTGAGAGCAGCCATCCCCCAAGTGTGATTCCTGGGTCCTTGCTGTCTTTGTACCACCTCCAGGAAGACTCTCTTCACGATAGCTCTCCCACACCATTCATGGCCCTTGTAAATGGAACAGAGTTCCTGACTGCCTTTCATAAGAGAGAGAGTCACTTCCTTTGTTTCTCTGCAAATGGAGATTTCTCCTTGGTTTTGAGGTTGAAATCTCTTTGGCCCATTTGTAAATGCCCACCCCTACCCTCCAAAAAGAAAAAGCAGAAGATACATAAAAATGATGTAATTGCAGCTGGTAGGAAGCATGTCTGATGCCAATCCAGGAAATGGGAGCCATTTCTTTTGTACTTGATTTAATGACTTTGAACTGTGCTGTAAATAAAGAATAAGACTGGACCTTATACCTGTGTGTTGCTTCTGAAGCTCACTCCAGCTGTTGTGAATGCTGTGTGCACTGCGGTTGGCTGTTTTTGGAAAGTCCTTTAATTTTCTCTCTTCTATTTGGCAGCTTTTCTTAGTTCTGGGATATTTGCCACTGCGGTACTTCCAGTAAGAAATCTGGACTCTTTCTACTTCAGTTCTCTTTGTTTCAAAGGTCAGTTTTGTGGTAATTTGGCTAAATTCTGCCAGTTTAGGAAAATGACTCTGTTTTGCCTTTCACTTTAAATCTGAACAAGCTTTATGCTGTGGTCACTGATAATACTTCAATAAGAAGCCTTTAAAAATTGATGAATCAGCTATTCAGAAAGTAGAATACAGTTATGTTCAGCTTTTTAATTTTTTAAATTTTATTTTTTGGTGGTGGTTACTGCTGTCATTGAAGCCAGAAGTGTCAGGACACTAAGAGGCAGGTGCATGAGAACTTTTCTGTATGGCTTCCAAAAGACAAACTGACTAATTCATGCAGGCGGCATATTTGACATTAATAAATGGCCAAGGCTTTCCTATTTCCAAGGGGTTGGCTTCTTTCAAGCAGTTCTTACACTGAGACCTTTCTTCAGAAGAGCTTTTCTAGGATAACAAATAGGGTTGGATCAAAACCTTTCAGGGACACACAGACTAACAGTTTTTATTCTGTTGAAAGATTTCTTCCTCGTTTCTTTTTATTTTCTCTCAATAAATTTTTTTTCTTCATCTTGCTTGGGAACATTTTCTGCTTTTAAAAAATTGTACCTTGAGCTGGATCATTTCTAAAGCACTTATTTTTTTGAAGTGCAGAGATAGAGTTCATTCTTGGATGGGAGACTGAAATATTTCCCTTACTTTTTCTGGCATCTGGGAGATACAGGAAAATCTTTGTCTTGTTTTAGAAGCCTTCGGTTCTCATTGCAATGAGTTATCTATCAAAGCATTTGGTCACTATTTTTGTTTCTGCATCCGAGAACAGTCTATTGGGGTGGGAATTTAAGGATCAAAACAATACTACTTTTTATTCTTTGTTAACTAAGAAGTTATATAATGCAGGGTTTATGGGCTTATTAGAGGATATTCTTATAATTTGTTTTAGGAATTTAGGATGTTTTCCTCGAAGTTTTTTACTTGTGTAAAATCTTTAAAATACTTTGCCATTTCCTCTAATACTCATTGTTTAGATGTGTTGCATTTTTCTAAAGAAACAAATTCTCCCCAAAAGATTATATTTTTTGTAAGCATAATTTGGTTCTATTAATATATACATCTTATATATACAGAAGCCTTAATTGAAGTTAGCCTAATTATAATCTGCTAAAATTTAATTTTAAAATGAAAAAGAGACAGATATTAGAAGATGTTGTCACTTATCAAAACTCTGACACTAATTTTGGAATAATTCCTTAACATACATATATTTTTATTGAAAAGATAGCTTTGCAATTCCTTTTCTGGTTTTATTTTAAAGTTGAAAAAATTTAGGTGCAAAGCTATTGTAAGAATTATGCAAGCTCACACATCCAATTATTGGTGGAAATAAATCTAAAAACCTGGAACAATAGAACTTATTTCCTATGTGCCCTGAGTGCACCAAAATTAGCTCTTAATACATTTACCCATCTCATAGTGATTAAGTGCTATTTTTAATGACACTAGGAATGGCACTATCAATAGACCTATCAATAGGTCTATTGATAATTGCAACTCAATTCTAGAAGATGTATTTGATGATCCTATTGAAAGAATGCAGACCCCAAGTCATTCCTATCCAACAAAGCACCCTCAAATATAGAGGCTTAAAGCAACGACCATTTATTTAGTTCGTGATTTTATGGGTTGATGATTTGGTCTGGGCTCACTCATGTATGCTGATGGCCCTATTTCTGAGGGTTAATAGGCTATTGGTTTCTGGGGTGCTCATCTGGGCACATGGTTTTTTTTTCTCGTACAGGCTAGCCTAGGCTTGTTCACATCATGGTTGCAGGTTCTAAGAGACAGAGTAGAGGTAATCAAAGTTTCTTGAAGCCTAAGCTTCAAATTGGCACACAATTATTTCCATGCCATTGTATTGCCAAATCACAAGACCAGACAGACTCAAGGGGGAGAGGAAATAGCCTCTGTCCATTGATGGGAGGAGTTGAAAAGTCACAGTGCAAAGTCAAAGTGACATGAATACAGAGACAATAAGAGAATTGTAGTTATTTTTGCAATCTACCATACTGCCTAACTCTTATTATTGAGAACACTGTATTTTCCATGAATCAATAGTGGTAATACTTTTGGATTTCATGAACTAGTAAAAAAAATAAAATAATGTAGGAAGTACACAAAAGTATTTGAAGATCAGAAATTTTTTATTGTGATAAATAACATTAAAAAATGAAAAAGAATTGGAACATCAAATAAGCCTTATTATTTAAAGCATCCCTCTAATTAACAGACTGAGTTTTTGCAGACAGGGGAGGAGAGACATGGAGGATTGGGGTATTTTTTATTTTCTGTATTTGTTACTTTAACTGCCTGGAGTCAATGGGTAGAACTAAAGAAACTTAGGTAACTTTCTTAGGGGATCTGTAGAGCTAAAAGATTACCCAGAGAAGCCGATGTCTAAACCATTATATTACAGAGTGAAGGCATCTCAGACATCCAGCCCAGCCCCATCAGTTTGTAAGTGATGGAATTGTGGCCCAGAGAGAAGGGATTTGTCTCAGGCCTCACAGCTCATGTTTGGCAGAACAAGGGCTTTAAATCCAGGTTTTTGTTTGTTCGTTTGTCTCACCTTACTGATGTAGTTTAATCTTTGGATTCAAGCAACAAAACCAAACGAAACCAGCTTGAGCAAAAGAGGGAATTTTTGAAACCATGCAAGAATAGCTAAAAAACTTGGGTAACTAGGAGTCACGAGGGGACGGAAATGAGGTCTGGAAAGTCATTAAAAGTCAAGACTGCTACACTCTGTTTCACTTTCAACAAAGGAGGTCACCAGTTGTGAGATGGTGGGTTCGATTGGTTCCTCAGGAGTTTACAGTTTGGCAGACAGTGTGTGCATCAGAATTACCCAAAGGGCTGATAAAAACAGATTGCAAAGCCCCATCCCTGAGTTTCTAATATGTCTTGGGGTGGATCTTGGGAAGTTGTATTTCTAACACACTCCCAGGTGATGCTGGGGGAGCACACTTTGAGAACTACTAATCGAAAGAATTCTGAATTTGAATTCCTTCACACAGGGCATGCGCCTTCAGTTCACCTTCTCTCAGCCTGCCTGAGCCATATGAGTATGGGAGCCCTGCCTAAAGCGTCTCTTCCCATGACTGCTTCATTCTCCCTCTGCAGAACAGCTTCCCCTTTCTACTCGCACAGGCCCATGATGACTTACCAGAAGGGTGTCCTCAGCCCCCTGAGCCTGCATTGACCCACAAGCCCCCAACCCTCAGGTGGTTAGGGAAGAGCAGGGCCACGAAAACATCGTTACAGAGATACACTTCTTAGGACAGAGGAGTGGGCAACAGTTCAGACCACACAATCACAGGGCATCTATCACAGTGTTTCTTGCTACACGAGTGTGTCCAACAAAATGCCGATTGCTTATGTAGTAGAAAGATCCATAGTTGGGCAAGTGCGGAAAATGATGGGATAAACAAAGTTAAATAGTTGTTTTATCTGTAAATGTGCATGTGACTCTTCAAAATGGTAATCGAGAACACAACATTTCCTACGTTTACTTAACAGAACATCAACTGGGCCTAAGGCATTGGTCTAAACCCTGGAAAATACAGTGGTGGGAAAGCAAACACAGTATCTGCTCTGATAAGGTTTATGTTCTAGTGGGAGAAAGACATGAAATGTCAGGTTACACAATGAATTGGTAAAATTATAAGTGTTATGAAGAGTTAGGACTATTAGGAAATTTAGCAGGGAATCTGAGTTAGTCTGGGGCAATAACAATGCTTTTATGAAATGTCACATTTCAGCTGTGCCGTAAATGATGAATGGGAGCTATACTAGGAAGATGAGTGGAGAAGACGACATGTGCAATATCTCTGAGTGTAGCATAGTCAAGGAACTGAAAGGAGGCCACTGCAATGGAATAGCAGATGACCACAGAGAAAGTGGCATAATATGAATCTGGAGACATGGACGGGGAATGCTCATTCAAACACTATAATGAGAAGTCATTATAATGATGGAAAACCCCTGATGGGCCTTAATCAGGGGAGTGATGTGAATAGATGTTCATTTAAAAGGATCACTCTGGCTATAGAGTATGCATTATAGGGGGCAAGCAAGTACTGGAGGAGACCACTGTTGCAATTGTCCAGGTAAGAGAAGAGGGTAGCTTTCACTAAAGTGATAGAGATGGAGCTGCAGAGAAAGGGATGAATCCGAGAGAGATTTAGTAAGGACAGTCAATGGGATTTGGTGGTAGGTCCTATATGAGATATGAACTGGGCAAGTGTCAAAGATGATAATTTCTAATTTGTGCACTTGGATAGATGGTGATGCCATACACTGGAGAGGCAGCATTGGAGGGACCTCCTGTCCTTGGCTTGCCTGGATTTGGAAAGGGGATCTCCTAGTACTTAGTATCTCTGGAACTTGGACTTCCTGATTTATAGTCACTTCACCTGCATGTGCCCTGGATCCCTCTCCCACTCTGTCAGCCTAATACTCTTTGTCAAAGGAGCTGAATGTATGTAACTCTGCCTTGATGTTGAGTGGACGCAGAACATTGGTCAGAAACAAAGCCATTTAGGGGTTTAAGGAACAACTTGGTTCTGATAGTTTTTGCTGTCTTGGAAAGAAAGATAGAAGCTTACAACAGCAGAGCTGGAAAGCAACCTTGGCATCATTTAGCTCTATGTGATTGTTTAACATGGCTAACATCTTTAACAAGAAATTCAGGCTTAAGTGTGAAAATTATTGGCCCAAAGTATATAGCTCATATAGCTCAACATGTTTACTTAATATTCATTTATTTTTGTCACACCTG